AAAAAAAAAAAAAAAAAAGAAATAACTTTTTTAACTATTTAATGTTATACAAATAATTACTCTCCCACCATGGCTCCCCCTGTCTCCCACATCCCCTGTATTACTCTCTGCTAAAAGTCAATGTTGTCATCACCTCTGCCCCCAGATGGGGCCTCCCCAGCAGGTGTTCCTCAGGATGACCTACCTGGAGGAGGTGGTTGTGGTGCGGGAAGGACTTAGTCCTGTGTCTTCCCCACCCAGTGCAGTCCCTAGAGGAAGAATGCCTGCTGCCTCGTCAGCACCAGACAGGAGCTGCACAAGGACACTTCCCACTTGTAAAACTTTAACTGGGTCCACTGCAGCAAGATGGAGCCCGCCCGAAAGTTGGCTGCTAAGCAGGACAGGCAGCGGTGGCAAAAACACCCGGCGAGGAGCCGTAGTTTGAGGACGCCTGATCTAGGACAACTGTCTGTATGAGTGTTCACCCAACCTGGGGCCCTGGATGCAGCAGGTAGGAGAGCCCGTGCTATCCCCACAAACATGAGCCTCAGCAGAGGGTAGAGCCCACCAGGTTCTTACAGGCAAGGCTTGGCCCAGGAAATAGTCTGAGGGTGGTGGAGACACTGCCCCTCCTCCAGGCCAGGCCCCCCTCAAGGTTGTGACTGCTGAGATACCTGGCTGATAGGAGCCTTCCTTCGCCTAGCCACTGAGCTAAACTAGAGCTGGCACGGATGGCGTAGAGAGTGGGTCCTGAACGTGCCCCTGTGCAAAGAGGACTGAGCGCTGGTGGGAGGATTGTCGTACTTCCTACACCTGCAAGAGCAACTGGCACAAGGGCTGGAACTGCAGCTCAGGTGAGGGTTGGGGTGGGGATATGGGGAATGGGATTTGGAGTTGGGGAAGAAGGTCTGGCCCAGAAACTGAGGGTCCTATGTTCTCCCCCAGGGATTAGTGAGTGCCTAGACAGGCCCACTTGTTGCACATTTGAGTCCTACATAATCAGTTCCTAATCCAAGAAGGGTCCCCAGGGTTCCTTTGACAGCCTATCTAATAGACAGATATAAGTGTCTTGTGTCTTGTAACTAATTTGGGGATGTGTGGGTTGGGGAAACACATTGCCTCATCACTCCTATTGAGAGGCTCCGAATAGGGATAGAACTAGGCTGAAGTTCACTGACAAATAAGGAGTAGAAGTCAAGTTAGAATCCAGGCATTTAATCCCTTAGTCTAGGGCTCTTACCCAGGACTAATTGTCCTCATCACCCCTGCACTACAAAGGGACCAGGGCATAGTGGATAGAAGGTAGGCAGAAATGGCACATGAGTTCTTGAGCTCCCAGTAGGAGAAGAGTTTCTTTCCTTTTCCTTCATTAGAGACAGGCTGGGGAGGTACTGGTGGGGGATCTCAGTGAGGAACACCTGCCTTGTTCCCCTTTTTAAAAATGAAATAGTGTAGGCTAGGCACAGTAGCTCACGCCTGTAATCCTAGCACTCTGGGGGGCTGAGGTGGGTGGATTGGCTGAGCTCACAGGTTCGAGACCAGCCTGAGCAAGAGTGAGACCCTCATCTCTAAAAATAGCTGGGCACTGTGTTGGGTGCCTGTAGTCCCAGATACTCGGAAGGCTGAGGCAAGAGAATTGCTCAGCACTCTACCAACGGCAACAAAGTGAGATTCTGTCTCAAAAAAGAAAGAAAGAAAGAAATGGTGTACATAGTATACATGGTAAAACATTATACTTGAATTCCAGGCTCAGTGCCTGTAGCTTGGGGGTTAGGACGCCGGCCACATACACCAGGACTGCTGGATTCGAACCCAGCCTGGGCCTGCTAAACAACAATGACAACTGCAACAAAAAAATAGCTGAGCATTGTGGTGGGTGCCTGTAGTCCCAGCTACTAGGGAGGCTGAGGCAAGAGGACCACTTGAACCCAAGAGTTTGAAGTTCCTGTGAGCTGTAATGCCATGGCACTCTACCAAGGGTGACATAGTGAGACTCTCTCAGAAAAAAAGAAAAGAAAAGAAAAAGGAAAGAGGGAGGTGCCTGTGAATCAATGGAGTAGAGCACCGGCCCCATATGCCAGAGGTGGCGGGTTCAAACTCAGCCCCAGCCAAAAATTGCAAAAAAAAGGGATAGAATTCCAGAAGAAGATTGTTGGGTCAAAAGTACATATAATTTTGATGGTTACAACTTTATAGGGACATTACCAGTGTGCCCCCCCTCCATCAGCAAAGTAGGAGAGTTCCTCTTTCTCCATAGTCATATCACTACAGCACGGCATGAGATTGTGATTTTCTGCTCATCTGACAGGAAGGGGAAAAGGCATTCTCAGTGTAGTTCGCATTTGCCACGTGCCTCATTCTAAAACCATTGTTCCATTGATCTCTTCATATGGAGAGCGTGTTTAGATCATGTTGAGATCTAGTTTATTCTTTTAAATTTTTTGACATTTCTAAAAAGCAGAGACCAATTATTTAGTTATTTTGTGGAATATCCTTCCATGGAGGTTTACCTGTTTCTTCGTGATTGATTAATTAAGGTCATGCATTCTGGGCGCAAATACCCCAAAGCAGCACCAGTGCATAATGGTGGGAGGCACATGGTGCTGGGTTTTCCCATTCCTGGTGGAGTTAGTCATGTCTGCCAGATTTCTCCACTTCCCTTTTCCCCTTTGTAACCAGTCAGTATGTTATAAGGAGAGACATCGAGAACTATAGCCATCCTATTTGTCAGCATTCTTTCACTCCTAGGTTTTACTATTTGATGGAGATTTGTTAAAATATAGAAACAAAACCTAAAAATTTCTTATACTATGTGACAATCCCTTTACTGACCCTTCAATGCTTTCCCATGGTTATCTTCTGTGAAAACCGTTTTTTTTTGTTTGTTTGTTTGTTTGCAGACAGAGTCTCATTATGTTGCCCTCGGTAGAGTGCTGTGGTCTCACAGCTCACAGCAACCTCAACTCCTGGGCTTAGGCGATTCTCTTGCCTCAGCTTCCTGAGTAGCCTTGAACCCACCAGCCTCAGTGCATGTGGCTGGCGCCCTACTCAGTGAGCTACAGGCGCCAAGCTCAAGAAAACCTTTTTTAATGGCATAGAAGGCCCTGCCCCTCCTCTGAGACTTCATGTCAAATCATTTCTTCTCACACCCCCATAAATAAGCTCCAGTTACTCTTTCTGTATTGGGGCTTTTGCTCCAGCAAATTCCTTCTCTGTATGGCTAGAACGTTCTTCATTCTTCTTCTATAGGCTGGTTCCTAGTGGACACTTAGACCATAGTCTTCAATCTCCCTACCCCCTTTCAAAAAAAATCACTGCTGCCACTCAACCAAAAGAAGCTACCCAGATGGGGCTCAGTGGTTCACACCTATAATCCTAGTACTCTAGGAAGCTGAAGCTGGTCGATTGCTTGAGCTCAGGAGTTCAAGACCAGCCCAAGCAAGAGGGAGACCTCACGTCTACTAAAAATAGACAAATGAGGCCTCTTTGCCTACTTGCTCTGGCAATGGAGGCCCATTCGCTGTCTATGCCAAATTTATCCTGCTTTGTAAGCTTTCTTACTCTGTAAGCCTATCTTTCTCTACCTCAATAAACTTTGTTTCATGCTTTCCTTAAAAACTAATAAACAGAAAAACTAGCCAGGCACTGTGGCAGGCACCTGTAGTCCCAGCTACTCAGAGGCTGAGGCAAGAGGATCATTTGAGACCAGGAATACTCCAGCCTGGGACAACAGTCTGTCTCAAAAAAGAAAAATTAAAAGAGTCACCTGGTGCTTTCTCATCATATCACTCTGTCCCTTTGTGATTTCTGTCCACTGTGTGTGCTGTTTGCCTTTTCTCTAGCAAAACGTACACTCCTGAAAGGAGAGTTGTGTCTGTGTTATGCTGGTGCCAGATCCCCAGGGCCTGGTTCAGTGCCTGGCATGAAGGAGGCGCTTAGTAAGTTAAGGAATCCCCATGCTCATACTGTCATTCAATAAATGCTTTCTGAGTAACCAGTCCACTGGCCCATGCTGGTCTCACTTGACAGGGAAGGAACTGAGTCCCTTGTGGGGGACTGAAAAGGAACTGTCCCCTTGTGGGGACAGAAAGATCTGAAAACCAATAACTCTTGGACTAACGAGGTGAGGCTTTCATAGAGGGAAGCACAGAGTGTGGTGTTGTTCTGTGGAAACCTGAAGAGGTCAGGGAAAGCTTCCAGATGAGAAGTGTTTGCCAAGCACAAAACAGCAGCATTCCATGGAGAGGTCTCAGCAAATACAGAGGCTTGGAGGTAATAGAAGCACAAGCAGAATTCCATGGTGGCACAGACAAGAGTTATAAAGTGACATGGGCGGGAGATATGATCAAAGAAGACATACTGGATTTGTAAGCCTTAGGATGAGGCCTTGAGGGCCCCCCACAGAGCTTCAATCTTGCAGCTGCTACATGGAAAATGTTAGGCTGGGAATCACACTCAGATCTGTAGATCCCATAGCTGGAGGGATGGGTGATATGAACTTGTGTGTGCAATGGGCTGGCGCTCAGGAAAAGCTCAGAGTTCTCCCCTCCCTCAGTATGAGGTCCCCTCCTACTCCCTGAAGCCTGGAGTCTCCACCATTGTGGGTCAAACACTTTCCTGTTATCTTTGCCTGCTCACAGGGCAGCCTTCGTGTCAGGGTCAGAGGGATGCCAATGGTTAACCTGGCTGGTAGTAAGCTTCCAGTCCTGGCAGATACCTGGACTCTCTCTAAGGTGGCTGCCTGACTCTGTTCCTCCCAGCTGGACAATTGGCCCTAGCACCCAGGCTCCAGATGTGTGTGCCACCTCATGATTCAGAGTAGGAACTCAAGGCTCAATAAATGTCCAGGGGTCTGGTTCACTCCTGCACAGGAAGGGCCATAAAATCCACCTAATGATTATCCCCTAGGCCAGGGGGTGGAGATGAGAGGGCAGGAGCTTATCTAGAGGAGCACCCATCTTCAGGCATTGCTAGACACCTGGCTCACCCTTCTCCAATCCCCAGGCTGCAGTGGGCTTAGGAACAAGGAGGGAGATCTGAGGGTTCTAGATGCCCCCTGAAGGCTCAGGCCTTCAGAGAACTTCACCCTCTGCAGAATAAAATAAAATCCTAAGCCTCCCAACTGACTAAATGAACAAAGCCCTCTTGGCCAAGGAGACCCCAGAAACACTTTTTTTTTTTTTTTAAGATAGTCTCTGTAGAGTGCCATGGTATCACAGCAACCTCAAACTCTTAGGCTCAAGTGATTCTCTTGCCTTAGCCTCTGGAGTAGCTGGGATTACAGGCTACAAAACCTGGCTATTTTTAGAGAGGCAGTCTCTATCTGGCTCAGGCTGGTCTTGAACTCGTGAGTTTAGGCAATCCACCAACCTTGGCCTCCCAGAGAGCTGGGATTACAGATGTGAGCCACTCTGCCTGGCCTCAGAAACACTTTAACAACAAAACTTCCCAGCCATGATGAGACAGTAAGTTGGTCATGCCTCAGTACACCCCCTTTCTCACTGTTACCAGACTTTCCCCCTAAGAGTTAAACAGAAACCAGCCCTGGAAAACAAACGATGAAAGACTCCTCCACTGACTTCAACTTCAGCCAACCTCCCCATGGCCACACTCCCCTCCCTTCTTGCAATTGCAACATGACAGCTGACCAGTTTACAGAGCGTTCCTTCCTGATAAATGGCTATCAACCATGGACTGGTTCTGGCCAGTTTACAGAGCCTGCACACAAAGCACCTTTGTTTCCCATATTTCACCTTTTGACATACAGGGCCTAATTTGATTGCATTTTAACATTAAGTCTTCATGCCAACGTGAACATGGAACTTATATAATATGTACATTTGCTTGTTACAAATTGGCGTAATTCCCATTCATGAATAGTCATAGCTCCTTCTATAACCTATTAAATATGTATATATAGTCAACTCTTTTACATAGAATTTCTGTCCTACCTTTCCTTTCTAAAGTCCCTGCTCTCACTCTCAGCAGGAGGCTCTGCTTTCCAGCCTGCAGGTAGCAACCCATAATAAGAAATAAGGTTCCTGGCTCAGTGCCTGTGGCTCAAGCGGCTAAGGCACCAGCCACATACACCTGAGCTGGCGGATTCAAATCCAGCCCAGTTCCTCAGGGAGGAACACCTGCCTTGTTTTCCTTTTTAAAAATGAAATAGTGTAGGCCAGGCACAGTAGCTCACGCCTGTAATCCTAGCACACTGGGAGGCCAAGGTGGGTGGATTGCCTAAGCTGACAAGTTTGAGATCAGCCTGAGCCAGAGTGAAATCCATCTCTAAAAATAGCAGGGTGTTGTAGTGGGCGCTTGTAGTTCCAGCTGCTCCAGAAGCTGAGGCAGGAGAATCGCTTGAGCCCAGGAGTTGGAGGTTGTTGTGAGCTGTGATGCCACACCACTCTACCCAGGGTGACAGCTTGAGGCTCTGTCTCAAAAAAAAAAAAGAAAAAGAAAAAAAAGAAATAAAGTTCTTCTTTCCAAACATAGTTGATCTTGTGATTTTTAAGTTGACATAATTGGTGACAAGGGTGACATCTGCTGAGACCACAAGGTTCCACCCAGTATGATCAAAGTCAGTCCACCAGTGCTTACATGAGCCCACTGACAGTTGAGTTGTTTACCTCCCTGTGTTATGGGGAACCTCTCTCCAGGTCTAAGCTCTCCCACTTTTAGGTTGAGATCTCAGAGATGATCCTTCTTCTCTGATCTCCCCTATTCTGACCCCAGAGGAGATATCTTTGTTGGCACTTGCTGTAAGGGGGGATCTTTTCAGCTAGACTCACCTGACCCATCAGGTTTGGTGAGGATGCTCACCCTCTGCTGGGTGAGGCCCTTGATAGGTACGTAAATGCTGTTACAGGGAACCTAGGTTCTCAGGGAACAGTTCCCGACCTGCTACCATCAGAAATTCTGGTGCCTTACATGTTTAAGAATTATGGGGGAAATTCCTATAAGTATTTGGGATTCTAGATAAAACTAACCCAGGAAGATTTAACAGTCACATGCCAATGGGTCTTTGGGGATTTCTTTTTCATGTCCCTGACTCCTGCCCCCATTTGCAACTTAAAGCTTTGTTGGCCTCAATGCAGAACTTTACTTTTTTTTTTTTTTCTTTTGAGACAGAGTCTCACTTTGTCGCCCTGGGTAGAGTGCTGTGGCATCACAGCTCACAGCGATCTCAAACTCTTGGTCTTAAGCGATTCTCTTGCCTCAGCCTCTGGAGTAGCTGGAACTACAAGTGCCCACTACAACACCCTGCTATTTTTAGAGATGGATTTCACTCTGGCTCAGGCTGGTCTCAAACTTGTCAGCTTAGGCAATCCACCCACCTTGGCCTTCCAGAGTGCTGGGATTATAGGCATGAGCCACCGTGCTCAGCCACACAAATGCCTACATTATTATTATTTCTTCGTGTTCAGCACCAATAAGTATTTATTCATTGTGTTTTCTCAGGGAAAGTAGAAGAGAAGGGAAAAGAGTCAGCATGTGTTACAAAATGATTTGAAAACAGGAAAGGAAACACCCAGTAGAGCAAAATCAAGTATCAAATAAACACACCACAGGATGGGGTCACCAAAGTGCAAGGGAAGCTCAGTCTTCTGCAGCTTAGGAATGAAGGGAAAAGATCAGGAAAAGACAGGTACAGGTTTTCCTACTCTCCTCAGCCCAGAAATTCAAGATTTCACACAAAGCTTTGGTTTCTAGGAGTACATGTAGAGTCACATTCACCCTATTAAACAATGTGTGGCCACTTTGACATGTTTCTTGCACCTGCGTAAAAGTTCCTGATTGATTTGGATGTACATCATAATCCCTTTCCAGGTCTCCTGTTCCCACTTTCTACCTAGAAGGCTCCCAGTTACCTCTCTCTACATCAGGGTTACACTTAAATAGATTTGACCCACCCAGAAAACAGCGGTGTTTTCAGTGTTTGGCACAAATCACATCAAGAAACGGTCCTGGCTCGGCGCCTATAGCTCAACCGGCTAAGGCGCCAGCCACGTACACCTAAGG